GGGAAGAAGGACTTATAAAAAGAAAACAACTCATGTGGTGGGACTCTGTAGCTCTTCTGCACTCCACCAGGGCAGTTTTGAGAATAGGAGATTGCTGGTTGGAAACATCAGAAAGCTGTATTCTCAGGTGCCCTCAATGACAATTTTATGAGAACGTTGTTATAGGCAATGAGAGTCTAGACAAGAATTGGTACTTTTTAAAGCAGTTTTTTTTAAAATTAAAGAAGTGAAAGGGATAAAAACTAAATATATGGTTTGGTTTAGATGCCAACACTCCACTTATTATCTCCAGCATAACTGTCAATGAGTGGGAGGGCTGGGGGAGGGGTAAAAGAAGTAACATCCTGATATGCATTTTAAAACACCAGGCAACTAAGGGCAAAACAAACAAGAAATTTAGATGACTGTTTAGATATTTTATGAGCTATATCTCTTGCTTTTCTTTGTGAAAAAGTTATGCTAAATATACATATGATTTTAGCATTTTATGAGGGTACAATTATTTGTTAGAGAAGGTTAGAGGGAAACAGAAAGAATTCCAGATTGTTCTGTCAGCATTTTGGAGTAACACAATGATAGATGAAATTTAAACTCAACATAAGCAAGGTAATGCTGCAGAAGCCTAGATTTTCAATAACTGTGTTTATGCATTTTGACAGCTGATAAATTAAAAACCTAGCAACTCTTAGGAAATACACTCAGCCATCACCAGGGATGCTAAAATAGAGGTGACTGCTCTGTAGAAAGGGGCGCTTGGAACCAATGCTATATTGACAATGAAAGAGGAAGTAATTTTAAAAAATGGTATTTTTAATGATTATTTGCTGCACTTCTGTGGCACACAATTTAAAAGTTGTTATGAGTTGAACATTTGTTTCCTCTCTAAACTCATATATTGAAATCCTACTCTCCAATGTGATGGTATTAGTGGTGCCTTTGGTAATGAGAACTCTCATGAATGGGATTAGTGCCCTCATAAAAGAGACCTCAGAGAGCTCTCTCACCCCACTCTGCCATGTAAGGACCCAAGATGGCTGTCTATAAACCAGGAAGTGAGCCCTCACCAACCACTGAATTTGTTGGTCGTGGATCTTGAATTTCTCAGCCTCCAGAACCATGAGGAAGAAATGTCTGTTAAACTGTCCAGTCTACAGTATATTTTTTATAGCATCCTGAAGGGATTAAAACAAAGCAAAAGCCAAAACCTGAAGCCGCTGTGAAATATAATTGTGCTAGGTAAGGGCTGGTAAGAATGAAAGTGGTAAATTATATTCACTAGAGATTCAAACATAAAAAATTATTAATTTTCAAAATCTTTGTATAATTAATTAAAGTGGAATATTATTTAAAAGAGCCAAGACAGAATATGTAAACTGAACTGATTCGGACATTCAAGCAGAAAAGTGAGAAAAATCAAAGTGAGCTAAGCCGAGTTAAAAAGTTAAAATAAAAAAAGGTCAAAAGTATGTCTTGAGAAATATATGACCTTAAGGAATGTTTAAGAGGCCTTAGGACAATTCTAAACCTCAAAATAAAAAACTGAGATATTTCAATGTAGTAACGTTTGATCTTGGACAAGTGATGAAACCTCCCCCAGCTTCTACTTCCTCCTCTACACTTAAGGGTGAATGAACAAAATGGTTTCTTAGATGCCGTCTAGTTTCAAATTATTTTTCTAAATATGGTAGCCCCCCCTTATCCTCAGGGCAAGCCCCCCAGTGGATGCCTGAAATCTCAGATACTACTGAACTCTCTATATAGAGATAGATAGATATAAATGTAGATATAGGCATATATAAGCATACACTATGTTTTTCCATGTGATAACAGAGTGGGCTACTAACTCAGGGGTCCCCAACACCAGGGCGCAGACTGGTGGGTCTGTGGCCTGTTAGGAACCGGGTAACATAGCAGGAGATGAGCTGCCCTTGAGCAGAGCTCCATTTTCTGTCAGATCAGCCGTGGCATTGACTTCCCATAGGAGCGCGAACTCTGTTATGACCTCTACATGCGAGGGATCTAGGTTGCACGCTCCTTATGAGACTCTAATGACTGATGATCTGAGGTGGAACTGAGGCAGTGATGATAGTGCTAGGGAGCAGATGCAAATACAGATGAACATTAGCAGTGAGGTTTAACTGCACACTCCTTCTCCCTTCCCCCATTCTGTGGAAAAATTGTCTTCCACCAAACTGATCCCTGATGTCAAAAAGGTTGGGAACTGTTGTACTAACTGACTAATGGCGGGTAGCACAAACAGTGTGGATATGCTGAACAAAGAATGATTCATGTCTTGGTTGGGACAGAGAGATTTCATCACAGTACTCTGAATGGCGTGCAATTTACAATTTATGAACTGTTCATTTCTGAAATTTTCCATTTTAGTATGTTTGGACTGCAGTTGACCATGGGTAACTGGAACCAAGAAAAGTGAAACTGAGTATAAGGGAGAACTACAGTACTAAGTAAGGTTGAAGAAATTTCCTCATCCATCTTCTTTTGTTTTGAGTCAGAGTCTCACTCTGTTGCCCAGGCTGGAGTGCAGTGGCATGCTCACGGCCATCCCAGCGTCGACCTGCTGGGCTCATGCGATCTTTCTGCCTTAGCCTTTCAAGTAGTTGGAATTTCAGTTGTGCGCTACTGCACTTGGCTAATTTTTTCATATACTGTAGAGATGAGATCTCAGCAAGTTGCCCAGGCTGGTCTCAAATCCCTGGACTCAGGCAATCCTCTTGCCTCGGCCTCCCAAAGTGCTTGGATTACAGGTTTGAGCCACTATGCCCAGCCTCATCTGTCTTCTTAATTATTAGATAATATTGCTTTGTGGCCCAGATATTACCTTCCACTCTTCCTTAGACTCAATGGATTGTTTTGCTTACCCAGGCAGAGGAAAGCCTCTGGAATGATGATCATAATGAAAGAGCTGTGAACATTGGTCCACCACTTAGGGATTTCTTTCTCCCACTTAATTTTTTTTTAAATGTGTAGAGGAAAGAATATGAGCATAGTAATGAATCAAACCTGAGTTTGAAACATAATTATTACTTACCAACTAATTGCAATGGCAACCGAGTTTCCTTATCTGGAAAAATAGGGCTAATACCCACCAGTGAAAAATACTATTCAGCACTCAGATCAATATATTTTGAAGTTTTTGCTCCTTTTCTTCTTATTTATAATCCACTAGGGCCTAACTAGAAAAGAAAACATGTTTGATTATTTTTAGAGTCTTAAACTAAAGAAATCACTGCTGGCTTCCAATAAACCTTTAAACAAAATGGAAGGAAGCAAGTCTCACAAATAATAAGAATCAGCTACTCTGACAGAGTTTGAATACCAAGGGGAATTTTAGGCCATAGGTATTAAATCAACATACACCTCCAGGATTCCTGGGCAGAACACTGTAACTGGCCATTTCTTTGCTTATGTGTGAGATTGCAGAATGGCATGGGAAAATTAGCCCTGTTTTCCGTACATTAGGCTTTGAAATCTAAATATAAAGGTATCCAGGGTTTATTTTCAGAGCCTGGGAGGCCTGTTTCTGGACACCTGGAGGGAGGGTTAGCCCAAATGCGTTGAATCCCCTCCTCCCCTCCCAGGACCCCCGACCCCTAGCATCCCCACCTCCTTGGTGCCAGCCAGGTCTTAGGAATCCCGCCCTCTCCTTTTTTTCTTTCTTCTTCATCTGAGTTCCCTCCCTCACCCCATTCGGCTGCTTCTTTCCCATCTTCGCTTTCTCCCATAAGTGGTCAAAAATAGGATACGGAAGTATCTATTAGTCGCTTAGTGTAGAGCTCGGAGGTTTTGTTTTTTTTTTTTAAATTAAGAAAAAATACAAATCCCCTCCAGGTTCTTCGTCTCGCCAAGAGTCGGAACGCCCCCAGGCTCACCAGTCCCCTTAACCAAAGGAAAAAAAGCTCCCACCAAATTGTCGTCCGTCCCCGGGAGGAGGTTCGGGGCTGCCGGAGGGGGGTCCGAGTGTCTTGCGGCAAGGAAGGATCCCCGAGCGAACGGACGTGGGATCCCGGGAGGCGCGAGCGGCGCCGCCCCCCGCGCAGCGGGGAGGCGCGG